GAGAATGACTGGCCCAAGGTCACCCAGTTGGCTTTGTGCCTAAGGTTGAACTAGATGATGCCTTAACCAATACACCACACTGGCTCTCCTAACAATATCTGCTATTAGTATTAAAAAAAAAAAAAAGTTTTGGAGGCAAGTCACATTTAACCCTCTGCTCCCACTCCAGATTGTGATCCATATTACTGAAGTCATTCTTTTTAAAGGAGAATTCAAAGATGGTTTAATCTGAGATCCAATTTGATACTTAACACATAACTTTTTTTATTACCTATCACAGAAATATACACATCATTACATTTTCTAAAATGTATTTATTCATAGCATTTCTAGAAGTCAGCTCATAAAGATGTTAGCAACTGTGTTAGTCTGTTTCAACAACCACAGAAAGAGCCTGGCAATCCTTGAGAACCACATGTCACATCTATTGTGATGTGAGCATTCATGATCTATGAATATATGTTGTACTGGCTATAAAAACTTAGGTTACAGTACTGTGAACATTATTGGGTATGGTGAAAACAGTTATACTTAACTTTGACTTAAAATCGAAGAAATGCTTGTTCCATACTAAATCAGTGACTGTTGATAATGGTATCACCATGCTAGTTCAGAGTATAAAATGGAAGAGAAAACCACTCTCTCATATGTGGTCCAAGGCTCCAGAATCAAAGTTAGTACTACATCCAAATTGGTCAATTTCACAGTGATTCCTTCATTTGAATTTCTTTTATCAGAATGTTCACCTCCAGTTCCTGAATTTTACTACTTTTAATATCATATTTAAGTCTATTAATTCTTTTTAAAAATGCAGTTGCCAACATCAGACATATGTAAAATGTATCATATTTATTTATATTACATAGGCTGTTATAAAAATAGGTATTCTCTAGGCACGATATAGAAAATCAACCGAGCCCGACCATAATTGTTGCAGAAACATTCCCTGTGTTTTTTACTGGCCAAATTTCAAATTATATGTCAGAGACTATAACACGTGGCAACATAGATGACTGAAAGAAGTAGTTTTTTTTTTCCTTTTAAGCCATAGAGAAGATGGAGTTACTAGATTCCAGTTACAGTACAAGAGATATGCCACAAGGAGGTGCTTTTAGCTAATACATGTGAAAGGACCGTCTTGTTTTCTGATAATCAGGAGATAGCAAAGAACACTAATTCATGCATTTTCTCTTCAAAAACTCTTGCAGTTTATATCAGCTTATTGCAGGTTATAATGTTTTGATGCAAAGCCTGTTTTTTGTAAATAGTTTCTGTTAACATTATGAATTATTATCCCAGTTTTAAAATGGATGAACATTTTCAAGACGGGAATTAATCAGGGTTCAGGAACCCATAGCTCGTCAAATGTTCATAAGCCACAAATCCTGTCATTAGAAATCACTGGCCACTGTTTCTGCAGGTTAAATATATTAGAATGCATTTTCTAGATACTTACTTCAACTATGCATGTAATTTTATTGGAGACATTTATATGGAAGTTTATTTGAAATAAATTTTAACCAGTTGGCTTTTAAACTGTGTGAAAACTATGACTCCAATTTCAAGAGCAGACAGTTGCAAATAACCACTTCAAGTACCTTACTGGCGGCCATTTTTCATTTACCTCATTAAATTCTTTATAAAGGAAGAAAATAACATGGAACGGTATAGTAAAGTATAGTATATATAATGCAATGAAGGAACAAGGTCCTATGACAATATCTTCAAACCCAAGCAATTTTGCTAAGCAGGTCTTACCTCTGTTATCCAATGCAGAATAATTTCCCTGCCTACTTGACTGGTAATATTAAAACCCTCAAGGATGTTTAGAGCTGTGATCAGAGCAGGACCTGTATGTGGAGGTGGTGGACTGAGAACAAGATGTCCTATTAAAGTGAAAGAAGGAGAAAGACACAGAAAAACTGGGTTAGACTAATATTGTGAAACCAAGGGCAGCTTCCCAGTGGAGTTCTAGAACAATCCACTCAGAAGAAAATCTCACTGAGTTGGCAAGATTCATTCCTATGTAAGGAAACATTACAAGCTTAATCTTGTTGGTTTTTTTTCAAACTGTAGTTCAAATCCCTCTGTTTTGGGAAAACTGTTTTGAAGCAAGTGTTTTGAAAGCAGCTTGTGACTTCAGCAGGAATAACAAGTTCCCTGACCTCAAACAAACAGAGCATTGTCTTCTGATTAACCTTCAGAAGAAAAACAGACCCTAGACAGTCCTTCAAAAAGAAAACTATCTTCTGTTAGTACGACATGGTGTTATTCAATAATACACCTGCATAGAAACCTGTAACTTTAGCTTATACCAATGGCATACTTCTATGCCACCAATAAATGGGTTCACACAAGGGCCAAAAAACTTCAAAGTCTGTTGCAGTCTCCCAGGTAGAGTTTGGGTATACGTTATTATTTCTCTTGTCAGGTTTATGAAACCTGGAGGAATGAGTCTTAGTTTTCATTCTGTTCTGGGGGCACTGCACCAGTATATAAACAAATGCAGCCAAGGTTTCTGTTAGTTCTAAAAAGAAGCTCTACTTCCTAAACTCATTTTAAAAACGAAAATTTAAAGGATATAAGAAATACCAGGATAGGTGATAGAGGAGGCTTTTTACCTTGATATATTGTATGGACTGGATTTTCCACCAACACAGTATAGTTGCTAAAGTCTTCTTCAGACAAGGTACCTCCAGATTTAAGGACCTAGTCAGGGGATCATAGTGGTGAAGCTTCATGTAACAGGCTAGCAGTGCATTGTCCTAGTTTAAAATAACTTTTAAAATGGCTAAGCAATTGCAAAACAATATGATTTGGGTTTTCCAAACTGATCAAGCAATATCATTTTATTTGTAAACATATTATAACATGCATGTTTTACAAATAGGGAAGGAGAAAGAGAAGGAAGAGAAAACCTAATTTTGCATAGGTCACATTGTCCATATTGATTACTACCTAGACTTGTTGGGCCTGTCTAATGAGTGCGTCCTAGAACACAACAAATATTCCCCTCTAGCTATGCACTGTAAGAGGGGATTGAGAGTGGCTGACAAACTGGCTTCTGGAGATCTTTCTCATCATTACACAATTTTTGGTATACTAGAGAAACCTCAGAATAATTCTAGGATAACCAATCTGGCCAGGTGACACCCTGAAACTCATTGTTCCAGATTACTTAAATTGAAATAAGAATCAGAATCCTCTGTAATTATTCATTTTATGCATTTCATTTATTTGCACCCAACTTTTCCATAAAGCACGCTCAGGGCAGCTAACAACAAGAATATCCTTCACTCATACATATACCCAGGCATACACATATATGTACACAAGAACAATGAATGACTCACCTCTGAAATAATTTCCTGTGTCACATTTCCACTGTAAAAAGCTGAGACTCCTCTTGACCCAATCAAATCTAAAAGAACTGCCAGATCTGGTCTTCTCACAAACATTCCTGGCAACAAAGGTTGCCCATCAGGAAAGAAGATTTCTCTGAATTTCTCTGAATGATTGTAGTATTCCTTCATTTCTTTGATAGCCATTGCTACAAATGACAGAAAGAATAGCAAAAGAGTAAATGCTGAGTTATAAAAGCTTTCCAAATCAACTTAGAAATTGAGGAAAAGTGCTTTCCCAAAGGCATTTGTAGTCTGTATACACTGAATGTACCCAACATTGTCACTCTTGTGTACTCCTGCTTTCAAAAAGAAGGAGCTTTCTATTCTAATCCCTCAAGTCTCTTCTGTGGCTGGTTGTGGTGGGGCTGCTGGCTTTGTGGGGTGTGGTTCCAGCTGAAACCTAGCACAAGCTTGAAGGACTCTCTGCCATCCCCTTGGTGCCAGGTCTGGACATTTGGCCAGGTCAGTTGATTTCACCCCAGGATACTTTTTTCCAGAAGGAGAGGCTGCAAGAGGTGCCCTGAAGAGAAGCTGGAGACTTCTGATTTGGTGGGGGCAGTACCAAGCTGGGAGAAGACTTCTGTGGACTTGAAGTCCTCACTGGTGCCAGAAATTGCCCTCTGTGCTATGGGTGAGTGTCTATGTTTTCCCTTCTGGAGTCAGGGATTGGAGTCTTTGCTCACGGCCCATTTTTATCTTTCTCTGACTATGGAGAAGGGGGGAGGTCTGTGGTGTGACAGAGATGCTTTGGGGACCTGCCCCAGGATCCAGGCCTCTCATGGGCTGTTTAAACACTTGAAGGCAAGTGCAGCCTACTGGTGGAGTTTTGGTATTACAGTGGGGGGCTTGGATATTTGAAGGGGTGTGATTGGGTGGATGAATGTGACAGGTATGACAGATGGATACCTCAGCCTGGGAGAAGGAATAAGGAGTGGAAGGGAACTGGGGAGAGAATGAAAGGCAAGCAGAGCCATTGACACCAAGACAGGCAGAGGGAGGTTTGGTGAGAACCTGAGGGTGGGCCACACTTGGTGACATTGGGACTGCTATTTGAGAGCAATCCCAATATCCAGCCCTCAGGGTTCTTTCTTGATACCGGGTTACCAGATCCTTGGTGGCCCAGGATTCCAGCTGTGGCTTTTCAATGTCAGGTTAGTTTATAATAAATCTGCCCTCATCCACAACTTGAGTGCTGATCCCAGGCTGTGACTTGATTCTTCTAGAAGGCCTGGGAGATGAAGTGCCAGAAGAGATACCTACTTGTCAGGTTCGGCCCAAAGAACTCCATGAGACAGTGCAGTACAGTTCTGTTGCATTTATTAGCTTCACCTCAATACAGAAATCTCTCC